TATCAATCAAGTGCATGCGTACTTGATTAACTTTTTAAAAGTCTTTTCTTCGAAAGTGAGGCCTTATTCGAAAAATATTTATTATTTTTAACTTATTTATGTCGTAGAATAACCTTTTTCCGATTGTATCGTGTATTTGAGTTCATTCTGTAAACATATTTGAGAAATATAAATTTCGTCCTTTCTTCTTCCCATACATACATCTTGTTAAAAAAATAATTGAACATATACCGTATATTTTTTGCATAATATAGAGTATATCTTGAATAGGAAGGAAAAATATAATATGTAAGCTACTTCGATATTTTATGAACTCTCAGAATCTACATGTGCTGTTAGGAAAGCTGTAGTTCGTACTGTGGTTCGAAGGCAAAAATTACTTAGCAAACTATTTATTAAATAATCTTGTAAATATTTATTAATATTTATTAAATAATATTTATAACATCACATAAATATTAAATAATATTTATAAAAAATAACGAGCTTTTTTGTCGAGGAGATCAATGTGAATGTAATATATATCCGAATCAATTCCCTATGATACAAAAGTTTTCTTCCATTCTAAAGGTCACGATACGTGGTGATTATGCTATTCTGGTGCGCAACTGCTCGCGAACTGTAAGAAACCTAACGACTCGATTTTTTTTCTTGCCAGAATTTTTCTCTCGCATTTCTCGTAAAGCAGACGCGCACTGTTCTTTCAACAGTAACGCTATTGTATAGCTTTCGCATATACAGAATATTTTAAGTGTGACATGTTGCATTCGATGTTAGAATACTGTAAACATGTTTTCTTTTCACTTTTCAAAAGAAAATGACTAGATCAATCATTAACAATTTGTTGCGCATCATATTACCAGTATTTTTTACCCGATTTTGATGTCAAATGTTATTCACATAAATTTTTCTATTATATGTATATATTATTCTAAAGTTATTATTAACTCTGTTGTGTATGTATTGTAGATTTATACATTCATATTACAAAAATGTTTTATGTACAATTCAAATTCGTCGTTTTTATTATTCTCACTTAAGCAGCGATTTGAAATGATTAAAACAATTATTTTTTTTTTAAATCAATGCATAATATTCCTAAATCAAATGTGGAGTATTTAAGGTTGAATTTAATATTATTTTATTAAATCCGAGCTAAATGTATCCAAAAACGGATTGAGCTTATACACGCAGGTGTTTAAAGCTTATTACAACTATTATTATTGATTAATGAAATGATGTTTTTTCATCTGCTGATTAGTGGAAAGTTTTCCATATATTATACTTGATGGCGTTTGACGTCTGCTGCGTTATCTATAACGAAAATAATTGTTATCACCGCACCGATAAATAGTAAATGTATTTATATCGTCCTTGCGTCGATGCTCGTTTCTTTCGAAAAAGTTCACCGCGAACTTGCATATTCTTCGACGAATGACGAACGCTGAAAGTTTCTTGTTATTATCTATTCGAGTTTCGAGCTGATTTCCGTCAGTTCGCATATAATTCATCATACATATCATACATAGATACGTATAATTTGCCCTCGTGTGCTTAAAGATTGCAGTAATACATTGCTATCGCCCGATATATCTCCGTTGATATTTTAACGAGAATTAATCAATAAAAGATACGATACTTGCATAATAAAACGTTCTTAATCACCGCGTAATTTGCATGGAAACGTAACCTTGCGTTTTAAAATTTTTCCTTGCTCCGTTAGAGCGATAATCAATAGCGCAAAAATTTTGCTCGTAACTCCACCGTTAATATATATATATATATATATATATATATATATATATATATATATATATATATATATATATATA